TCTGTATACGATTTTAACGCCCTATAAGTTCGGACACTTTTTAGCGCTGACCCGACGTCCATGTAATTGTAAGTCAATGGTGATTTCAAAATTGATGACCTCAATATATTCATAGAGTTAAAGAGTTGTTAGGTAAAAATAGATAAAATTGAACACTTACTGATGGCAGGTGAGTCTTCATAGCAAATCATGCGTTTGAGTCCTGGGTGCCGGAGTATCATATTTGCTACAAGCTGCAACAGGCCGCAGGCGTCTTCAGGGGACGCCACTAGTGCCAATCGTGAAAGGCGTTTGGCGAACGCTGCTACTAAACCTTCGGGTAAGTGGCTGTAAGGAAGATTTCAATCAATAATTAGTCTGTCGGGGTTTTCCCGCAGGAATACAGCTTGGAGTCCTTCAAAAGGGGTTTCAAACGGTCGGTAACGGCCCTGGTGTTGCAGACGTTCATAGGTGACGGCGACCGCTTTCCATCAGGCGGGCCGTATGCTTGTTTGCTGCCTACATAATTTATATATATATAAAAAAAAATTTTTACAAGTTCTGGAAGTCAAGAATGTAATTCACCATACATTGTAGAAATTTGAGACGGGTCTGCAAGTTAAGCGTTATAGCTACAGAAAAATGATCCAGGAAGATCGTGTTGATGAATCTTCAACATTTTTCGATTGGCATTAACAAATTTTGTTAAAAATTTTAAAGTCACCATTATGCCAATCGATCATTGGATCTGAAAATTGTACGTGTGTTTTGTTTTGACTTTTTTGTCTTCCATTTTTAACAGTATCGATACCTTCAATTACGCCAAGTTTATTTTTTGATCTTTTTCTGTTATTTTTGTAAACAGCCATATTTATTTACCAATATTATGGTCCCCGAATATTGTAAAAAAAATAAAATAAAATAGAAAATTCGAAAAAAAAAAACAAAAAACTAATTTTGTGTTGTGATGTGGTGGTGGTGTGGTGGCCGAACGGTTAATACTTACGCTAAATACTTGTTGTTATTAATACTTGGCTAAATACTTACGTGGAGCTTAGAAATATGTCAGCGAGATGCATAAGTCGACGCTTGTAGCGAGTGGCGAACATCTCTGGCTCGAACATGACGTAGAGGCGGTCGTACAGGTCTGGATAATCGATATTGTGCCGCCGCACCAGTTCCAGCACGCCTTGCAGCGCTAGCATGCTTATTGGACCACCTATACAAAGCAGTAATAGATCAGACTGAGAACGGTTAATTCTCAACTTTTTTCATAATACCAAGTGACGGGATGAACAAGTCGTGGGTCTGGTGGTAAGAGACACGCCTGTCCATAACAGTTGCAGTGCCGCTTAGAGCTTTAAAACGCAACGATCGAAGGGGCACTTGCCACTGCGCCCGTCACCTTGACACATAAGTTTTTTATAATTATTAATACAAAGATCGAACACTCAGAAAAAATTCCTTCGATCCGGTCGGATTCGAACCGACGTCTTCTTGCATACCGTGCCAGACGCTATACCAACTAAGCCACGGAACGAACCAACGGACCTCACGAATTCTTCTATGTGCTTGCGTCGTGTCTTTGTACTTGGTCTTTAACGACTTTTTAGTCATAGCGCCATCTATGAGAAATCTATTACAAATTTATCACCCAGTTAGTACCTTTACAGCTACCAGTCCTGGCGAGAGATGTCGCTATTCACTGTATTAATGAATTTTTTATTGAATTGATATACAATTATTTTTTGTGAAATTACTCCACTACTTTGTTATAATAATTAATACAAAGATCGAACACTCAGAAAAAACACTCAGAAAAAATTCCTTCGATCCGGTCGGATTCGAACCGACGTCTTCTTGCATACCGTGCCAGACGCTATAGCAACTAAGCCACGCAACGAACCAACGGACCTCACGAATTCTTCTATGTGCTTGCGTTGTGTGTTTGTACTTGGTCTTTCAACGACTTTTTAGTCGTATATAAGTTTTTTTTTAATATTAGTTTCACGGCATCGGAATAAATCCATCAAGCCAAATCGTCAATTACACATAAGTTGACAAGTGCCATGACAGCTAAATTATTAAAGCAATGATTTCGTAATTTTATTCGTTTTTAATTAAATTAGTCATAATGTTTTTAGTTTATTTTTCGAACCTCCGGTTGCAATTACCTTAATTAGTCTGTGGTAACGTTTTCGATTTCCATCAAAACGTCTTTTGGTACATTTCCTGTTTGCAAAAACAACATCAAAAGAAAGGCTGCTTCAAAATGCAATGCTAACTCACGTTATCTACATTGTTAACTTACGAGCATAAAAATATGTATATCGATGCTGGAAAGGTAAAACATTTAACGTGCATTTGGAAATTATTACAGGAAAGCCTCTAGCTAACCGTGACAGACGTTATGCCAAGTAAGTCACGGAGCGAACCAGCGGACCTCACGAATTTTTCTATGTGCTTGTTACCGAATCTTTGTATTTGGTTTTCAACGACTTTTTAGCCGAAGCGCCATCGTGTTCGATTTTTGCATTAATAATCTTATCGAACTAGTGGAGTAACTTCACAAAAAACAAATGAATATCAAATTTAATTACAGTTAATAGCGATATCTCTAGCCAGGACTGGTAGCTGTAAAGTTACCTAACTGGGTGACGAAATATTTTTCTCATAGATGGCGCTACAGCTAAAAAGTCGCTGAAAACCAAATACAAAGATCCGAAAAGCACATTGAAAAATTCGTGTTCGTTCCGTGGCTTAGTTGCATAGCGTCTGGCACGGTATGCTAGAAGACGTTGGTTCGAATCTAGTCTGATCGAAGGAATTATTTCTAAGTGTTCTATTCTAAATCTTTGTATTAATAATTGTAATTAACTAGTGGAATAATTTCACAAAAATAATTGAACATCAGGTGGTCAAACATCCTGACATTCAAAAAAGTCAATTGCAATGTAAATGTGTTTACCAGCATCGAGACTGTCGCACAGCATGTCGGTAGCGAGATGTGGGCGTGTGAGTAGCGGCATGAGTCTCTCCACGAGCAGTAGAAGCGCGCGGCGGTGTGTGCGAGGCTCTTCGCAGAGAGGCCACTGGCATGCGAAGCCCCAGCAGCGGTTCGCATAGCGTCGGCACACGCCCGGGTTGTAGGGGAATGGAGCCTTGTCTAAAATAATAAAAAAAACACTAGTGTTGCAAAGTTTAGTATATTCGGCCAGAAGCGTGGTCGAATAGCCATAGGTCTAATTTCTATTATTAATTAATAATAAATTTAAGTTAATAAAAATTCATACTATTACAATAAAATAATTTGTAAAACAATGTAGCGTAAATTGGAATGTTTCTTTGTAAAATTAAAAATAAGGTATTTAATTAATAACTTTTGTAACATGTGAAAAAATAGGGTGGTTTGCATTAATATTAGACATAACTGGTTGATGACTGTAACACCTCAGTCAACTGTGACCATGAGACCTGTATAGGGCCCGAAACATTGTTTTTTTGAAAAAACAAATATGCGCGATTTAAATCCGGAAAAATAGTTTCATTTCCTATGTGTAATAATCGCCAAAATCTAAGAACTCGATAAAAAACAGATAAGGAAAAAATTCAGTTGGCAGTGTTCATTGTAGGCAACGTTGTGCGGATTTTCACTATCCCCGAAGATAGAATAATATCAAACTAGTTTAGAGCAGTGGTAGTCCAGTGGGAAACTAGTTACGGTTTGAATTACTAATGTATTTCTATTACTTTAATATCTGAGTTATGTTGCGAATGTTTTGTGCCAATAGTTCCCGCTAATGGCGAAGAAAGGTATCTATATTTACCATCTGTGCCACACAGCAGTTTCTCCTCTTTCTCGTCTTCCTCTCTATCTTTAACTTTCATCTTGATTTCCACGGGGATCTCGCTCACCAGCAGTTTATCCATCAGCTCTAAATAGTTCTGCATGTACATGGGGGTTGGTGACCTGATTAATGTTAAGATTTTTTTTAACACACACATTCACAGTCCCGCATTAGGGAAACCCTGTATCGCACGTACCATGGACACGCACATAGACAATCATAAATTACACCCAAACTCACGAGATACATAAATGTAGGCCGTACACACCGGGAATCGAACCCGGGACGTCTGCGTGGTGTTCGGCCACTGAGGCAGTTTGATTATAATAGATTATAGTTGTTGATTCGTCTAAATTAGTTACATACACTTAGTTATAGTTAAATAGCGTTTTATTGCAACATATGTTAGTCTTTAAGATATATGTTATATGGGTCATGTGGGCAGAATTAAATAAACAAAAAAATAAAAAATCAAATAAACACAAAGACAAATCCCTTCGATCCGATTAGACTTGAACCATCATTTGTCGCCTAAACTTACCAATTGACGACAGACTGTTTCGAGTCTCGATCGAAGGGACTCGAAATGGTCTGTCGTCAATTGGTAAGAGCGGTAGCAAAGTTTAGGCGACAAATGATGGTTCAAGTCTAATCGGATCGAAGGGATTCGCACCTAGGCCTTTAGGCCTAGTGGGAATCTTTACCCTGTAGTACTAGGGACAGAATTTGTTCATACTCACTTGCGGTAAGCAAGAGTGGAAAGAACTTTAAGCCCGTATTGCTGGACATCTCGATATTCGGTGAACTCCTGGAAGCGAGCGATGGGCGCCGTCATCGCTGTCTCCGAATCCAGCAGTACAGAGAATATGTTCTGTAATGGAAATTATTACATACATTAGATTTGAAGAGAATTTGCGGAAATCCATGTTAACACAAATTTTAGTGTATTTTGGTGGTGGTGTTTGTGACTGTGTTGTTTATTTTATTAATTTTATCCATACGGGGGTGTGGGAAAATTAACTGCATATCAAAAATATTCAACACAAGCTCAGCTATTATGCACGATTTGAAGCAGTTACACATGGAGACTTTTAGCAGCGATACAAACGCGCGATTGCATCGCGACATTTGCTATTTAGAGGCGCTTGCATCTTGCTTATATAGCTGCTTAGAAATTAGCGACTGCATCGCGACTGAATTACTGCAGACGTGGGTTACCATTAGTCAATCGGTCTTAACCTTTACTGGGTTCATGGATTAGCAAATTAATTTACTTCCATTTTTCATCATTCTGAAGGTGTTAAACTAAACATAAATTAAATATGTCTTTATATTATAGGTAAGCAAACTACATTTGAAATCATCACACTACTCATTCATTAGTATCTCCAGAGAAGAATGAATAAAAAACTTTATACATTGTTCTTTATAAATAGATATTTGTTTACATTATCATATTTATTTGAATTATCGTAGCTGCTGCTAAATAGACATTGAGATAAATCGCATCCCTTGTATATTAATTCTAAAATACAGACAGACAAATCTATGTAAGAATCAGATGTAAAGAATGCAGAGAATAGTATATATAGTATCACTCTGTAGTATGCTGGCTGGAAAGTATAATGGGTGTATAATGGAAGATATAACAAATAATCTATTTTCACTTGGTATAATAACATTTGATATAATTTCTAAGGATATAATCACCAAAAGGCATAATTTCAATGTGTATAATCAACCTTCAGTATAACAAACATTAGATATAATGATTAAGTGACATAATGAACAAATGGTTTGTGTGCTACCAGTATAATATTAAATAATATAACACAATATTTCGTTTTACGAATAGTTGATGCGCCCTATATAATGTTGATAAGAATTTTTTTATACCATTAAATGTACAATCGCAAAATATAATAGTTTTTGTATACCTTTAAGTGTTTTTTGTGCCATAAAATATATATATTAAAACTTTAGGCAGAATATTTAATTGCATATACTAACCTAACCTGAACCGACAGGAGGAGGTCGAACCAACTAGCAAATGCAAACAAATTCGATTCTGGCAGGTTTGTCATATACTAACCTAACCTAAACCCATAGGAGGAGGTCTAACCAACTAGGAAATGCAAACAAATTCCGTTCATTCACCCTTGCACCTAAACACCACTGGAATTATATTAATTTTTTTTCCCACATACACATTCAACATTATACTCAGTGAATGTTGTCTGAAGTGTTTATATAAAATGAACATTATGCCATCAGTATATTAGATTGAAAGTTGTTATATCAATCGTCTATTATACCCAGTGACCTTTATATCATGCAATAATATGTCAAATGTCTGTATACCACAAATTAATTATGTCTCTTGAGTGTTATATTGACTAAAAATGAAATTTTTTATATATTACGAATCGCACTCAAGTATAACATTAAGTGTACAAATAATTTGTCATCTGACCAATTCATATTGCTTTTAAGATACTAGTTAAAATGTTGATGGGTACCTTAAGTCTGACTGAAGGGAAGTAATAACCAGGAGAACTTTCCATAGGGTATTTGCCTTCAGCCTGCAACAGCTTGCAGGTGGTGATGAGAGCCTGACGGCGGGAACAAGAGCGCCCGCGTTTGATGCATTCGAGTGCACGGGTTGTCGCTGTCTCGTAGCAATCGCGCAACCATCTTGTGTATTCTGCTTCTGCACTGTGGTCTGAAGGGTTTTAGATATTTACTGTTTTACTAAAAGACTTAAGGAATAAGGTTAACACAAATCATAGTGTAAAGAGCCCCATAAATGAATAAATAATTTGTCAAATTTATCCTTCACACTTCACGTTTTCTTCAAACTATATCGCAAACAATCAAATAAACCATCAAACAAGTCTGACAAACTTACCTGTAATTATTAATAGAAAGATCGAACAGTCAGAAAAAAATCCTTCGAACCGTCTGGATTCAAACCGACAACTTCTAGCTAGACGCTATACCAACTAAGCATAATTGGTGTAGTTTCTGGTACGGTAATGCTAGAAGACGTCGGCTCGAATCCGGCCTGATTGAAGGATTTTTTTCTGAGTGTTTGATCTTTGTATTAATAATTATAACAAACTAGTGGAGTAATTTCACATAAAAAATAATTGTATATCAATTCAATATAATCATCATAGCTGTTAGGATAAAAATGTCAGACCTTAATGCCTTACTTTTGCAAACACATATTGTATAAAGAGTGGTTATTCAAGAGATGGCAAAACCTTATTTTTATTTTAAATTTCTTATCAAGGGTGTTAAATTGGATAGATTACTTTAAGAACAGGTAAAAGCCAGTGCATGAGGGAAATGTGACGTAAAATGACGTAAATATGTTGATCACAATTATTTTAAATTCATGCTCTTTCACTTAATACAATTTATAATAATTCCTATTCTTATGGTGGATTTAATAGATATATATGTTCTTATTATTTGTAAAATATAATCATAACGTAACAAGCAATGCAACATGTAACGCTATGCAATACAGGGATTAATAAATTGAAACGGTAAAAGGGTCGCCACAGGCCAGGCTTAGCCCAGTGTGGCATCACGTTATCAATGCATGGTTTTGTTAATGTTTAACACACACTTAATGTTAATTTAGCATAAGTCTTTTTCTTAAAAATGTAAATATGTTAAGTACTTTGTTTTTCTTTGTGTTTGTGATGCCAAATAAACATATTCTATTCTATTCTAAATCAGCCCGCAAAATTTATATATACAACACATTTTTTGCATTTAGTGAAGTGAAAGATAATACAAACAGTGTTCTAGTGTCTTTGTATTTGTTCAGGTTTAACTTTATGATTGGCTGTAAGAGTGTTTAAGGAAATCATTATAGCATGTTTCTTTTAATTTAGTACACTAAAGCATGCTTCAATAACAGACATCAAATATCAACTTTGACAACCTCAGCGCATTTGCACTGTAGGCCCTGGATGAGGAGGTCCCAAGTTTGATTCCTGGTAGAACCAATTTTGAAGTGAGCCCTTCTAAATTGGTCTTGGTCTAGGTAGTGCTCTGGTGTGAATTCCATTACCCTAGTACTCATAGTACACCTTGAGACCAAATAATTTGTGAGGGCAAAACTTACAATGTAGACAAAATCACTATATTCACACATGATGTAGGGGAAAATATTAAGGAAAAAAGACTTTTATTTAGTTTGCAATGCTCTCTTCATGTTCTTAGAAGTAGTGTTGCCTACAATGCAGTTCAGCAGAAGGTAAATAATTGGATTTTCAACTAGTTCCAGCTATCTCAGGTGTTGTAATAAACACGCCTGAGCTAGGCAAACATAATTTGACCTTGAAACTCAGTAGGTATCGCAAAATGACTTAAACTTGTTTATAGGCAACTTTGGGATCAAGTTACATAAAAATTTGCTGTTGATATCAAATGATAGAATGCTATGCTCAGAAACAAGAACAATTACACAATATTATAAATGAACAGTACGCCAGAGCTTTATATAAGCGCAAATTAACGTCACATGTCGTAAAATGTGACTAGATACTTTAGCTGCAGCAATGTCATGATTACACTGTACAATCTATATAATTGCTACCAATTGTTTGACGTGGAGTCGTATATAAATATGGATAAGATACATGTACGATAACATAGTTAAACAGCATAATATTCACGAGAAACCGTAGAAAAAGAACATAGAGCTTACCTATAGGCTTCAAAGGGACTATTTCTTGGATAAGATCACCGCGTTTCAACAGTTCCGTGAATATCACTTCGATTGTTAATAACAACGGCGTATAATTATCGGTCTCAGCCTGAAATACAAAGGCAACGCAAGTTAAATACGCAATAGCTGAGGTATATAACCTAAAGTTACAATTTTGTAACTAAAAATTAAACAAGTAAAGACAGCTGTACTTGCCTCAAACATTTGTAGGATATCCGCAAGGTTGTTAGCATGTTTCCTGGAGTTTAAAAACTCGTTAGCTTTAATGCGTAGTTGCGCTGAGACCATTTTTGTTAAATTTTGCTGCATGGCAGCCATTTTTGTATTGGAAAGAATTCTGTCAAGCTCGCGTATTGCCACCATTGAGAAAATAAATTTTACCCTATATACACACGTTATCATTACAATAACTCGCTCTATACAGGGTGTCCAGTAAGTAGCACGACAAACTGCGTGGGGTGATAGCCTAGGTCAAGGCCTACCTAGACAACATAAAGTATGTTCCGCAAAAATCAGTGGTTCTCAAGTTATGTAGTATTTAGTATAATTTTAAAAAATCCCTTCCCTGCATCAGATTTTAATTTTAATTTACATAAAAAACTAATTTAAGGATTTTTTTTCAGCTGTAATTATTCTTGAATATTGGTTCAACATAATAGTAAATGTTCGGTTCCTAAGAAAAGCCGCAAAAAATATTAAAAAGGTCGTCAAACTTTTTTCCTTAATTTTTTATTTCTTGACCTTTTATGTTAACCTACAGTGGTGTAAAAAAAATGTATGGGGCTGTTTTATTTAACCTTTTTTAAAACATGTCTGTTCATTGCTGATTTCAAAAAAGTACAACACTTATGGATTCCCATTCCCATAAAATAAAATAAAAATATTTTTAACCAATGAGTAAAAATTTTCTAGAAATCAAGAATATCGTTACTTTTCTAAAACACCGTAATAACACTAGCCCAGCAATTCGGCTGCATCTAAAACACGTTTGCCATTTCTCTCTCACTCCCTGTGGATGGGAAAGAAACAATAGTGAACGGCTTGCCCCACCCCACAAGCGACCTATCTACCTGCCGAACCAGTTTGGACAGGCCGATCTAGTACGTTGCCGTTAGTCATCACGCGCACACGCACAACTTTTTCATCGCCAAGTACTTTTTGACTCCTACCGACCGACCTATTATTTATTTACACCGGACTCTTGTTTCTGCCTTTCGATTTGGACTTTAATGTGTTTGTGATTACCCTGCGACAACTTGGCAAGCTTTTGGACTACGGACTGCACTTAGCTATTTGGATTTTTTGTGAAATTTTCAACTGCCGAAAACACTGTGCTGTTGTTGTTGTTGTTGAACATGGCAGCTAATCGCCGCGTTTATGAACCTTACACTCAAAGAGAGTACGCTGAAATGCACGTTATTTACGGGGAAGCGGGCCAAATCTCCCGTGCTGCAGCGCGCCTTTATCAGGAACGATACCCTGACCGAAGACATCCACATCATGAAATGTTTACGCGAATCCATAACGCCTACACGCAAGGAAGACTGCCTGGTCAGCGAGGCGGCGGTGGACGGCCCCAAGTTGCCGACGAGGACATTATTCTTCAAGAACGACAAGACGATCCATCTACTTCGGTGCGGGGAATTTCACTGCGCACGGGTATCCCTAAGTCTACGGTTCATTCTGTGCTTCAAAGACATGGATACTACCCGTTTCATATTCAACGTGTGCAAACGCTAATGGACAGAGATTACGAACAAAGAATGATTTTTTTGTCGTCGCATGCTTCAAATGCATCAAGAAGATCCATTGTTCTTCAACAAAATACTTTGGACCGACGAATCGGCGTGTCGAAAAGATGGATTTTTTAATATGCACAACTTGCACAACTGGCAACTGGCAAACGCACATGAAGCCAGAGAAGATCGGTCCCAGTACCAATTTAAAATAATTTATGGACTGGGATTTTCAACGAGGAAATCATAGGACCCGTGGAACTGCCGCAAGTTTTAAATGGGGCAAGATATTTAGAATTTCTTAGAGAAACTTTGCCCCCGCTGCTTGCCGATGTTAATGAGGACTTACGCCAGGAGATGTGGTTGCAAAATGACGGCTGTCCGGCCCATTATGCAGTAGAAGTAAGAAACCATTTGAATGCAGTCTTTCCAGGAAGATGGATCGGAAGACTTGGACCAATATTATGGCCACCAAGGTCACCTGACCTCAATCCCTTAGATTTCTTTTATTGGGGTTGTTTAAAAGATAAAATTTATGCCAAACCAATAAGAAATGATGAAGAACTGCGAGCCAGAATAAACGCAGCTTCGCGCGAAATCACGCAAATGAATCTAAGAAGGCTTAGAACGCAATTTTTAAGACGTTGTCGATTATGTATTCGAGCTAGAGGCAGGCAATTCGAACATTTGCTGTAATTTTTTTTTATTAAAAATATTAACTGTATTTTTTGTTTTATTTTAGTAATGTACCTTACCTGTACCTTATACTGCTTTTTTTCACACCGGCAATAAATATTGAGTATCAATATGCTAACAAAAACATTACTGAAAGGTTTTACACATTAAGTCGAAAGTTCACTTTCTTTCTGACTTTGTATAAAAGTAGCATTTTTTGGTTTTTTGTAATGAGAATCCACAAGTGTTTTTTTTTTTTGAAATCAGCAATAAACAGACATGTTTTTAAAAAGGTTAAATAAAACAGCCACATACATTTTCTTTACTCCACTTTAGGTTAACATAAAAGGTCAAGAAATAAAAAACTGGGAAAAAAAGTTTGACGACCTTTTTAACATTTTTTGCGGCTTTTCTTAGGAACCTATCATTTACTATTATGTTGAACCACTATTCAAAAATAATTACAGCTGAAAAAAAAATCCCTAAATTAGTTTTTTATGTAAATTAAAATGAAAAACTGATGCAGGTTAGAGATTTTTTTAAATTATACTAAATACTACATAACTTGAGAACCACTGATTTTTGCGGAACATACTTTATGTTGTTTAGGTAGGCCTCGAACTAGGCTATCACCCCACGCAGTTTGTCGTGCTACTTACTGGACACCCTGTATAGTCCGAATAAAACTCTTGTTATATAGCTAGACCTTTAAATATGATTTCGTAAAAGCAAGTAAGGAAGGAGCGTTATTCCACTGTTGTTTAATAGTTACATGTTTATTTAAATAATTATGATAACAGTATTTAAATAAAAATTTAACGTTCTTTTTGAGCTGGCAACAATATGAAAAAAAAACTGCGTTCAAAAAAGTGTACGCGTTTCAAAAGCAAAAGAGGCGAGTTTGATAGTTATGTTTTAATTAGAATTAGTCTGTGTATTATTTATTTATTTATAATACTTTATTGTACTACCACAAAGCAAATTACAAATTTTCAGAAAAAATTTGAAATATTTGTGTTCAAAGGCGAGCTTATCCCATAAAGAGATTTCTTCCAACTAACCTTTTGTATTATTAGTAAACTTTATAAAACCACATCCTTTTATTAACTGACTTTAAAAAAAGGAGGAGTTTCTCAATTCGAATGTATGTTTTTTTCCTTTCTAATAGTTCTGTTTTTCTCCTACGCAAAGCCATAATAAAAAAAATTGGAGTTTTTGAGGTTATATGTCATAATTTTCGAGCAGCGGCATTTGTTTTGTTTGATTGATTCAAGTTTCCGCATTCAATTTCAGCATTTAATCCGCTTCTGAATTATAATGGACGGAGATCTTTATGATGAGTTCGGGAATTACATTGGGCCGGACCTGGAGTCGGATTCGGAAGACGAACAAAGCATTTACGGTGGAGAAAATCGAGACGGCGACGAGGATGCAATGGAGGAGGATGAAGACGCCGATGCCGAACCCGAGACTGCTCCAATGTCTGTCGTGTTACACGAGGATAAAAGGTGAATAAAGAATATTCCACATAAGCCTTAAAAATTGTATATATATATAATAGTGAAGCTTCTACAGTTTAGGCTTCTGCCTGGTGAAATCACAACAGAAACAAAATGAAAGCTTTGAAAATCTGGCAGATGTATTATTTGCGCTGTTCTGATATTTTGAAATAGAAATTCACCTTAAAAATATTATAATTTCTTATAACTTAAAATTTTAGCGTATTTGGCAAGTAAACATTTGTATTAGACATAATATGGAGACCGGGAGACTCATAGCACAGATTTAATCTAGTTTGAGTTTCCGTCTCTCAACCTTTTGCCTATTATTGTTATAGCCCTTATATTACATGATGTACTTTAAACAGCACGTCAAGCTATGCACTTTTGTTGGAATGTCACCTCCAGTACAACGGATAAAGATCTGCCTATGTGTAGCTTCATGTGCTGCTGTTTATGATGGGAAAAATAAATTATTTTTATTATTATTATAGGTTTTGGCTTCTGTCTCACTGAGGACAATTCTGCTAGTGTCCGGGTAGTTTTAACAAAATGTTCTAAAAATTATGGTGATCATCGCCAATGTTGTTGTAAACAATATGATTTTTATTATTATAAGTTTATTTTTAATAATAATAATAGTAATCATTTATTTCAGACTATAAATCCATAGTGTTAGTAACAAAATACCTTAAAAATTAGTGTTAGTAACAACTGGGAAAGTACATTTTGACATTTATTAATGATTGATTTATAATGACTTTTAAAATCTATGTCACAGTTTATTTAAAATTACATTATTTCAGATACTATCCTCAAGCAATAGAAGTATATGGGCCGGATGTTGAAACGGTTGTCCAAGAAGAAGATACCCAAGCCCTGGACAAACCATTGGTAGAGCCAATCAAGCAGAAGAAATTCCAGGTACAGGAACAACAGCTGCCTGAGACTAATTACGACATGGAGTACTTGGCTGACATGCTGGATAATACTAACTTGATGAGGAATGTAACTTTAATGGGACATTTGCATAATGGTATGTATTGCCAAAGAAACATATAAATAAACATGTAAATATCACACATGCATTATTTACAACTAAGTTCCTAGGTCTTTAAGATTTCTACATATTGGAAATGAAATTATTTTTTCATATTATATTGGTATTAATTCATGATGCTATTACAGTAGTAATGATTTACACTTTAAAGAATTGTACCCCATAAGAAACTTGGCAGTACTAACTTTTGTACTTATTGTCTCAAATCTTTATTTGAACTGAAATTGTAGAAAAAATATATACATTAATATTTTATTTTACAGGCAAAACATCCTTCGTAGACTGCCTTATCCGTCAAACTCATCCAGGCATGACAAACAACGACACAACTATCCCAATGCGTTACACAGACACATTATTCGTGGAGCAGGAACGCGGAGTTTCCATAAAGAGTATGCCAGTTACATTGTTGCTAAAAGATATTAAAGGGAAATCGCACTTATTGAATATTATGGATACACCTGGACATGTTAATTTTAGTGATGAAGTCACTGCTGCTTTAAGGATCTCCGATGGTAAGCCATTTTGATTTTTGTTAAAGAATATGAACATGGAGAGCTCACATCAAAGCAGGATATATTGAACAAGAAATTCACATCTGTGTTGTGGATAATGGGTACAAAGTCAAAGTTATCAGTTGAGAGTAAGCTATTGTTGTATAAGTCAGTCTTAAAATCGATATGGACATATGCATTGGAGTTGTGGGAATCTGCCAGCACCTCTAATGTTTCCACATTTTTCAGTGCTTCCAAAATTGATACTCTCTCGGTTTTAGGGTCCACTAAAAATCAGCATCACAGTCTCTTCTAGGCTGTGATATTAGCTAAGTGAATCTATTTACTTATTATTATATTATTTGTTATTACCCATTACTATGATTTTATTTTTATTTACTTTTTTTTTATTTTCATTTAGATTTATCTTTTTTTATCTTCCTTACTATGTATATATTATAAATGGTTTATATTCTACTCCAAATGGTGCACTAAAAGACTATAGTCCAATCAGCTTGGTTTTATAAAAACCCAGGAAATACGTAACTATCTTGAAATGCCAACTACCAAACACGAGATGTAAGGAAAAGTGTAAGTCACAACTATCACAACATACAAATGTATTGGCAAAATCTCTGGTAGACGAAAAGCATCCGGGCTTGAGTCTTTTGAATTTGAAATAGGGATATTAGTAAGTCAAATCAATGGAACACAAACAAATGAGTAATCACTAAATGGACTTGAAGGGACTCTTTGAGACCACGTTTCTTTTCTTTTTTTATGATACCAAGTGGCGGGACGAACAAGTCATGCGCCTGGTTTTAAGGACACGGCTATCCATAACAGTTGCAGTACCATTCAGAGTTTTAAATCTCAAAGATCTTATGGGCACTGCCACTGCGCCCGTCACCTTGATACACAAGTTAACGAGTCCCATGCGCCTGTAATTTCACCAGCACCCTTACCCTTCTAAACCGGAACGCATTACTGCTTAGCGGCAGAAATAGGTAAGCTGGCAGTACATCCCTGGACGAACTGTTACACAAATTGCTGTATTGCTACTAAAATGGATGTTGCAACACGTCTGAAACATCGAGGTATATAATGTACATTTATACACAAATTCTATCATTTACACCAACAGGGGCAGTCCTCTTCGTAGATGCAGCTGAAGGCATAATGTTAAATACCGAACGCCTCCTCCGCCATGCAGTGCAAGAGCGAGTACCTCTGACCCTTTGCATCAACAAAATTGATCGTTTGATTCTCGAGCTCAAGCTGCCGCCCGCAGACGCGTATTACAAGCTGAGGCATATTATTGATGAATTGAACTCCATGTTGGAGACCAATCAACCGCAGGATAACTCGGAGGAACCAGCTACTGTCTTCTCTCCTTTACTTGGTAAGTGTGCGTTTATAATAGAACAAAGTTATAAATAATCCAAAAGAATAGATGTTAGAATTATAGATAGAAGAAAGAACGTTGATACACAACAAAGAGATTTACTACGTAAATCGTTGCTTTTCTCTGTTAAAATTATATAGTCTGTCTTTGGAGTAAAATGACAGTTCATTGCGTAAAGGTGTTGTCCGCTTGCAAGCAGCTAATGATTGCAGTCGATAAATATTCTATCGACTATCGATTGAGTGTTGATCACGCTTAGCGTTGAATTAATCGTCCAATTACTGAGCACAGGTTCATTTGAATTAAATTTTTGTAAGTTCATTCTGTATGTACTGTATTTAGAACTATGTCTATGAAAATTACAAAGAGAAGTTATATCTTAAAGTTTTTCATTTTAATTCATTTTAGATAATCAAATCCTCCTACTCTGGTTAAAATTTATATGAATAAAAATTGATCTCGATGCTAGTAGGCCATCTGTCAAAATAAGAATATTCCAATTCCAATTTCTTTATAATGGCTCCATCGATTTACACGATGATTCTGCCAATGTCACGGTTGAAAGAGACACTTATAACGTTGGTGTGACTATGTACGGTTGGATAGCTGGAGATCAATCGAGTACAATGAGAGTCTAAAAAGTCACGTCACATGCATATATAAAAAAAATAAAATAAAAGGGTTTATAAATATATAATATTGTACTGTAACTACATTTTTGATAGAAAATAGTTTTTAATATACAAGGTAATTATAATTTAATATTGTTGATTTGTATAAATTTTGACAGAGAATAAAGGAGGCAATAACGCAATCGGTGGTCATTAGAACGTCGTAACATTCACAATTCCGTCATTTTTAGCAAAATTTTATCTACCTTCACAATCTATCGATAAAACTGTCGCCAACAACTACATGACTATTTAAAATTTTATGAAAACTGGCAACCCTGTAAATGTCATTTTACTCCGTCTTCAAAAAAGACGGATTATAAGTTTAAACATCCTCAATTAAATAAAATGACGTAATTTGAAAAGTAAAGTTTTTGGCTAACGATAAAAATACAACTGATACATCTTTTTATCGAGTTCATAGGTTGTCGAATTGTTACACATAGATAAATTAGAAAATGAAAACTATTTTGCCGTGACCAAGGGACTTCAAAAAAGAAGGATATTCTCAATGCGACTGTATGTTTTTTTTTGTATGTATGTTACGCGATAGGTATTTGTGAACTAATTTGGATGATTCTTTTTTTGTTGAAAAGAGGGTAATAATAATAATAACGCACACACTCAACATAGCCCCGCACTAGGGAAACCCTGTGTCGCGGGTGCCATGGACACACACATAGACAACCACAAATTACACCCAAACTCACGAGATAAATAAATGTAGGTCATACAAATATTTCTCCCGGCCCGGGAATCGAACCTGGGAACTCTGCGTGGCAGTCCGGCATGGTAACCGTTCGACCACGGAGGCAGTTAAATCCTCAGTAATGGTCCCATTTAAATTTGAAGGAAATATTCCACCTCTAAGGGTGGCAAAACTAGGGGATCAATCCGGTTTCGCGCACTCTCCGGTAACCGATTTCAATAAAACTTATCAAATAGATGTAATTCCACGAGCGGTAGAGTATAGTATAAGAATTTCGAACGTAATTTGCTTACCTATGAAATAAAGATTGTTTGATTTTCAGGTCCGTTTTTTTATAATGTCATATTAAATTCCCAAAAACATTATTTTCGAACCACTTTATTATTGAGCGTGCAATATGATCTTGTATAATTAGGAAACGTGTGCTTCGCATCGTCCCTCTATGATGTTTGCTTCTCCCTGGAATCGTTCGCCGCGATGTACGCGGCGGCGCACCCGACCTCGGGCCTACGCTCGGCGGACATGGCCGCCTGGCTGTGGGGAGATGTCTACTTTAACGCTAAGAACAGAAGGTTCACTAAAAAGCAGCCACATTCGTCCGCACAGAGAAGTTTTGTGGAATTCATTTTGGAACCACTTTATAAGATCTTTGCACAGGTAAGTTGAGATCTCTTTGCTGACCTCCTTCATCGTTATCCCACCTTTTTATCATCCTCTTTTATGGTTTCCGGCCAGGTATTTTTAAATTTTTGAATCGTTCTCGAATTCTTCCGTCACTAATCTAAAGTTTGTTCTAACCGACGTCACTCCCATCAAAATTTTTGAAACGAGAAGACGTGCCTATAAATCACAGATCACCTTCATTTCGTCATTGTAAAACTTCACATTGATTGCTATTATATAAAATTACGATTACAATAAAAAATTGAGGACTGTGTGTTGAATAAATATGTATGGAAAGACGACATGACTCATTCCACACGAAATTGATTTAAAGTGCAATCCCTGGTAGTTTCTTGCTAGTTCTTCTCAGGGAAGTCAGCACAGTGAACGTGCAGTAGCTTAAAAATTTAAGTTTTCAAGGGTAAATTTATTTTACCTATGGAATAATTTAAATAACTTTGATTTTGCACAACACAAAGAAGAATTCCTTCGATAGGTGGACTCGAACCAGCGTCTGTTGCCACACCGGGGCCACCGCTCTTACCGACTGAGGTACAGACTGAGCTAACTGATAAAATTAATTTATTTCTTCCGTAGGTTGTAGGTGACGTAGACGACACTCTCCCTCAGGTGTTATGCGAACTTGGCATAAAATTGACTAAACAAGAAGCTAAATTGAACGTCAGACCTTTGCTCAGGCTCGTGTGTAGCAGATTCTTTGGCGATTTCTGGTTAGTACTAACCGTCAATTACTTTACGTGCACCGGCTAATAAAAAATTACAAATTTATTTAAAACGTTGATTAGGTTAGTAGCAGTAGAGGTCCTTGTGAAAGAGTTCATCCAGAATAGTGCTGCCACCTTAATCTATTTCTGTCACCAAGCAGTCATGTAAGCATTACTGTGTTCTGGTTTAAAAGGGTAAGGGCGCTGGTGAAATTACAGGCACATGGGATTTGTAAACTTATGTCCCTGGGTGACGGGCGCAGTGGCAGTGCCCCTCAGATCTTTAAAGCGATTTAAAGCTCTGAGTGGCACTGTTATGGACAGGCATGTAGCTTACCATAAGGTGCACGACTTGTTCGTCCCGTCACGTGATATTATAAAAAATATATATGTAATAATAAATCATGTTTTATTTCCCAGCGGTCTCGTAAACATGATTGTTCGCCATGTGCCGTCACCACTCGACGCGGCTCCACGCAAAGTGGCACACACATACCGCGGCACTGCTGGGCCACTATTCGATGACATGGTCCACTGCGACCAGTCCGGCCGCCTCGTCGCTCATACTACGAAGATGTACCCCACTGACGACTGCACTTTCTTCTTGGTGAGTTCATATTACCGACTTCACCTTGATGAGTTGACAGTACTGAGTTTCACACACAAAAAAAACCGAAAACACAAGTAAGACAAAATACTATAAGTATGGTTACAACAGTGTGATGAGGTTTCTGAACTCAGTATATGCTGTGCAGACTTGGTTTGCACAGCGCTGATTTTCAGCCAGAACCTCCCTGTCGGTGGTGTGCCAGGTCATTTAAATAAGTTATTAACTAAGTTATATATGAGGAGCGCGAAAGGAGAAAAGAAATAAAAATAATAAATAACATATATAGTTCATTTTGTACTTGACGAGTTCATATTACCGATGTCACCATTGACCTATCAACAAATGGACATCGGGTCTAATACAAAAACCACGAAAAAAATGTCCCAAGTCAACCTATTTAAACGTAGTGACATGTAAAGGAATATAAAAACCTAAAACGTTTAATTTAAATTGTAACGTCATTGCAGTACTGCCTAAATTTGCTTACAACAATTGAAGGGCCCAAAAACACCATATTCAGCTTCTATTGGAAACTTAACAAAATGCACCATATTTATCTTCGACTGAAAATTACTTGAACACAAGAGTAATGGAATAACCTTTCTCGTAAATATTGATTAATTTCTTTTATATATATTATTATGTCGAATTTTGTACAGATTCACTTAAAGGTATAATAAAGAGTTGGGCAGATACATACATACAATTATTACTACAAATGTGAAAATATGCGTGTACTACAAGAAATATACCGATATTCTGACTAAAATTCCGATTTATATCCATAATTCCGATTTATAACAAAACCGTTACCCTTTCGAGTAATTTTGATGCTTTTTACATAGACAAAATTAGCTTTTGTTTTGTAATCTTCGTAAAAACACATTATGAAAATTCGAGCTAATGTTATTTCGGGCAAATGTATTTTCTGACTTCTGATAGGTAATCCCATGCCGTAAAACGAGTACAATATTTTGTTATTGCTAACATTTAATAAAAAAAATATTTTAAAAATAGGATTAAAATCAAAGCAACTCTACAGTTTCTTTGTTCTAAATATTTCAATCGCTTGTGGTTCGAACAATTGAAAATGACCAAGAAGTTTATATAAGCTTCTTGAAACTGACGTACTGGGTCTCTTTCCATCTTTTGCGCATGCAATGAGTAGAAAAAGGACAGTTAGCTATTTCAGTATTTCGTGTGATTTTGTAATTTATATTTACGATTCAGTTATATATAAATTATTATACTATATATAGCTCGATTACCACTGACTGATCTAGATACTGACATAATTGTTCTCCCAGAAGGAGTGCCGGTGGGTAA